GATTCTAATGAACTGCGATCCACTTTAAACAATCTAAAAAACAACAAAAGTGCGGGCTTTGATAATATTAGTAGCTTTGTCGTAAAATCAGTATTTGATATCATTGAACCATCATTGCACCACATCTTCGATCTTTCGCTAAAATCAGGGATTGTCCCGGATAAACTAAAAATTACTCGAGTCACCCCTATTTTTAAATCTGGAGATGATTTTGATACTAATAGTTATAGACCTATATTAGTTTTACCATGTTTTTCCAAATTACTAGAGCGCGTCATGTATAATAGACTTTACAATTATTTGACGGAAAACAATTTTTTATACGGTAAACAATTTGGATTTAAAAAAAACCACTCAACCGACCATGCTATAATTGAGCTAGTTAATCAAATATCTATTGCTTTTAGTAATGATTGCTTTACACTAGGAGTTTTTATTGATCTTTCTAAAGCTTTTGATACCGTAAATCACGACATTCTTCTAAAAAAACTCGAAGTGTATGGAGTAAAAAATAATAACTTACTTTGGTTTAAAGATTATTTATCAAACCGAAAGCAATATATTCAGCATGAAACAACAAAAACAACAAATAGCGCCATAACTTGCGGGGTTCCCCAAGGCTCGATCTTGGGACCATTATTATTTTTACTCTATATAAATGATTTATATTCAACATCAAACTTATTAAATTTAATCTTGTTTGCGGATGACTCCAATTTGTTTTATTCGCTTAGAGACATTAGGACACTTTTTAACATAGTTAACAAAGAATTACATAAAATAAATGAGTGGTTTAGGTGTAACGAACTCTCTTTGAATGTCAAAAAAAACAAGTTCATCCTATTTCATAAACCAAATAAAAACAAAAATATTCCTCTTAAACTACCTGATTTTAAAATAAATAATACTAATATAAAAAGAGAAAATTTTATAGACTTTCTAGATGTGGTCTTGGATGAAAATTTGTCGTGGAAGCTCCATATAAACACTTTAGAGAGAAAGCTCTCAAGAAATATTTCATTAATGTATAAAGCAAAACCTTTCCTAAATATCATTTCCTTAAGAAGTTTATACTTTTCATTAATACATAGTCATCTAAGCTACGGTAACATGGCCTGGGCAAGCACAAACTGTACTAAGCTTAAAAAACTCTACAGTAAACAAAAACATGCCTGTAGAATTGTCTTCGGAGTAAGTAAAAAAGCGTCTGGTGAACCTCTCTTATGCAAACTTGGAGCATTAAATATATACAAAATTAACATACATCTTGTTTTACAGTTTATGTACAAAATAAAAAATGGACTATCTCCGCCGATATTTCAACCCTATTTTAGCGAAATAAGTCATAAATACCCTACTAGATTCTCATATAACAACCTTGTCATCCCAAAATTTACATTAAAGTTAAATTCATACTCAATCCAACACCGCGGACCTTATTTGTGGAAAATTTTTCCCCAGATTGTTTCTATCAAAAGAAATACACTTGAACAGTTCAAATCTGAATCAAAGCATTTTTTATTATCTACGGACTTAAATTTTCTTTTTCTTTTTTAGTATAAAATAAACTAGCACAATTTATTTATTTTATTTGTTTTAACTTTTACTTGTTGTAAATTTATTTTATTAAACGAATTTATATATAAACAGTTATATCAATTGTAAAACGTAGTTTTTCACATTTTTACATATTTTATCACAAACAATTTATCACGATTTTATATATTTTGTTGTAAAAAACGACCTGTAATGAAGTCACTATGGGGCTCGGTGATAAGACAAACTGATGTCTTCTTCTTGCTCCAGCCATTTATTTTATTATTTATGTTATTTTATAAATTGTAACTTTCTACGGCAAAAAATTGAAAAAATAAAAAAATAAAATAAAATGTAACCCATGGAATTAGAAGCAGATAAGCGTAAAATAATTATGATGTAATAAATTTTTGATGATCTTGTTTCTTTCTGACGTAATTACAATATATTGAGTAATAAAAAAAATAAAACAGGGATGGTAAATTTTTTTAACAGTAAAACAATCAAAGAATATTGACTATACAACTAAGAAATTAAAATAAATAACACTATCTTGTATGAATATCCTTAACCAAAAAAGCTCGCGAAAATATCATAAGTCTACTCGTAAAAGAGGTTATACCATCTTAGGAACCTGCTCATCTTACGCAACCTTTCCCTACCATTTTTTTTAGCAACATAGAATAAGGGGGGGGAGGGGGTCCATAATCGTCTTTTTTTAGATTTTTTTATAGTTAAATCAATTTTCTTAATTAGTTTTTCATGCTGATTCTGAAAATCATAATCATTTTTTTTTTTCATTTTAATTATTTAGCCTTCTACTTCGAATTTAATAAAAGTGAATATATTGACAAAAAAAGGCATTGTTAAAAATAGATGAAATTATTATTATCATTAAATATAAGAAAAGTAAAAAACTAGAAATCTTTTTCTGTTTAATTTATCAATAATATACCTTATCATTTATAAGTAACAAAAAAAAATTAAGCATTATATATGAAAATAATTCATACAGTTTGTTATTTACTATTGAAAATGGAAAATAACTATAAAAGTCATCATATGTGATAAAGATTGCTGCGTGAACTTTCCTTATAGAACATCTAGGTTATGAGCGTGTTCTTTGGTAGACATAAGATGAAGGTTTTTATTTTTATATCAACAACCATATATTTAAACAGAATAGACAAATCCTCCGCGACAATGACCTACATTGTATCCCTAAAATAAAGAACCTTATTTTTCGAACTTTTTTTTTATTTTAACATATCTTTATCTACTTCAATAATGTTTAGTTTACAGCTAAATGGGCTGCCTTGTAACTTTAATCAAGCTAAAACAGAACTCATCTTGCACACCTGATGTAAAGTTTGCTGCTCTTCCATTGTTATCCATTTGTTTTTGTAGCTGGTTTCAACTTAATTCCATAGTTTCAACTTTTTGGACAAATAACTGGACAATAATTTTCCAAAATATTTTTAAACTGCGCAAACCTTTATTTTTTATATGGTTTAAATAATTAAGTATATATCTACTGTTGAAATTAAATGGGTTTTTCCCAAAGTTTTCTAACTGCAACAACTTAATTAGAAAGTTAATACTAATCATATTCCATCATCAACCAAACACATAATACTTTTCTCTTTTTTGAAGTCCTGAGGCTAACTTTTGTCAAAATATTTTAGCAAGAATGATACAATCATTCAACCTCTTTGAGGTATACTTATTAACTGCTTCTAAATTTTTTTTAACTAGCTATTCACTGCGTGTTAGAGTAAAGCAGAAAATTTCAAAATTTGATCAACCAGTTTGTTTTTATAAAGTCTTTTAGGTAGCGGTGTTCCTTTATACTAACTGTTTATCTTTAAAATTGTTAAAACTTTAGAATTTAACTGAACTTCTATCTACTGACTGGCACTTTAAAAGAAGATTTATTCTTGACTTCATTAAAGAAAAGTGAAAAAAAAAATGAAATCTTGAATAGCCTTCTTGATAGCTTGATTAACGATTAAAAAAAAAAAAAAAAAAAGGAAATTAAGATATTATGAAGCAATCTGTCTTTTTGATTACTGAAAACTTTTTGTTTAGAAAGAGACTTCAGATAAATTTTTTTTTGAAGCAATCTGTCGTTTTACTTATTTAAAACGTAATTTTAGAAAAAGACTTCAGATTAAACATTTTTTTTCTAAAACGTAACGAATAAAAATCAAATTTATCCAATCAAAATTTGAATAGAAGAAAAGTTGCTTACGCAACTTTTCTTCTTTATACGCAAAGAAACTTTTGCAAAGACTTATTTTTTATATCTTTTAAATTTTTAAAATAGAAGTAGAAGGTCAACCATAAAAAATTAGCAAAAACTGAATTGTTTTTTAAACTTTTCTCAAAAAATTAATTAAGAATAACTGGTTAATCAAGAAATATAGAATTTTGAACCCCCCCCCCCTCCCTAATAGAAACTGTTAGAAGAACAGTTTTAAAATCATTTATTCGTATCTCAAAGTATAGTGAAAACTTACGACATTTTTTTTTAAATAGAGATTTTTTCAACTATTCTCCTTCGAAACAAAGTAAATCTATTTATAAGGCTGTTGAAAAATTAAACTTGCTATTCACTGATATTGAAGCAATTACTGGCAACACAAAATATAAAATATTTTACAAATGAAGTGATTTCTATATGTAACACTCTTAAATTCTTCCAGTGTGTGATAGAATAAAAAAAATTTAAATTTAGGCAACTTATGGAAGAACTGCTAACGCATGTTGTAACAATTAAATTAAAAGCATGCAACAAAATTTAATTGAATAATTTGTATTGATTTTAGGCTTCTTTTTTTTTATCTGTAATTTTTATGATTATAAATTGATTTATAAAATTTTATTAATCTTTGATCAAATTAGTCTCGTGGCAAAACTTATCTACGCCCCTCAATTGGGGAAGAGGACAACGATTTTAAGGGGCCCTTTCGGACTGTTTATTAATTGGGAACAAAACAGGGGAATCGGAGTCTAATAAGTTTAGAATAATGTTGACAAGAGGAGGAGAGAATGGTCAAGAAAAATTGACGTCAAAATTGTAACTTTTTAAAATAAATTTAATTACTTAACTATAGTAAAGTTTTACAAGTCTTTTGTGGATCGGGAAAAATTGACGTCAAAATTGTAACTTTTTAAAATAAATTTAGTTACTCAACTATAGTTAAGTTTTACAAGTCTTTTGTTGATCGAGAAAAATATTGCTAGCAACTTTTTTCTCCAACCCACTAGGCACGACACTGGGTTAAATTATTTATTTTAAATCTGCATTATGTAAAATTAGGTGGTTATTATCACTCGTGCTTAAAATGACAGTTTTTAATTCTAATTAATTCTAATTAATTCTAATTTAATTCTAATGAACCCACAATGCTTTGTGAACTCATAGTCGGACGCGAAGTAACTATATTTACTTAAATTTTTCATTCATAATTTACACTCTAAACGTTTAAGTTTTAGCGTTTTATGAGTATGCTAAATTTGTTAAATAATACAAATTTACATTAAATGGGATCATAAAAAGAATGATATTTGTGGGAAAAGTTGAAATTACGTAATAGTTTTGTTTGCATTGATGACATTAGGTGACAGAAATAAAGTCGTTAATTTTTATCCGGTAAGTGTTGTAAACAAAGTGTTGTAAACAGCTGCTGTAAACAATTACGCTTAAAATGAAAGTTGTCATTTCTTGGGGAGGTAATAAGTTTTTACCAAACCCAAAAATCAACGAAATATTATATTTTTAAATTCATTATTCCTTTGAAAGTCTTTTCATTTCTAGGTCTTTAGTGCAAACATACGGGTTTCGATGTATTTTTCTGAAGAATAAAATATTAAATGTCTTTCAATAATATATGTGTAATATTAGGTATGTGACATGAAATTTCAAATTAATCATATACCAGATTGTCATATATCATTGGAAAGATTTTGAAAGCAGTATTTTAACGGTGAACAAATTATCAAAATTTAATAATTCTATAAAAAATTATAGTGTTTTAAAGTATTAAATTTTTCTTAACTTAAAATAGGTATGTAGATTGAAAATTTTAAATTGATCAAAGGTTAGATTGTTATATATCATTAGAAAGTGCTTCAATACAGTATTTCAAAGGTGAAAAAATTATTAAAATCGGACTATTTTACAAAAAGTTATGACGTTTTTAGTCGCAAATTTTTGATATATGGATTTGTTGAAGAAACTGTGGTCAAAATTTAATTTTTCTTTACTTAAATTGTTATAACTTTGTCAATTCTTGTCTAAATACCTATAACTTAGTATCAAAAGATAGGTGTAACTGTGGGCTACAAATTTATAACATCGTCCACCTATTAAGCCCCCCCCCCCCAACCTAAAAAAATAAATAAGTAAAATAAATAAATCTTTATAATAACAATTATAATTATTTTAAAATAAGTTAACAATTTAAAACCTGAATTAGGCTTTTTGCACCAAGTATAACCTACAAGCTAAAGATAAAGACCACAACCGAGCCTACTTTTGAAAAAAAAGTCTTTCCGCTGCTATTCGTAAATTTTGGTTAAGTTGAGAAGTTTGTTAAATAGGGTGGTAATGGTTACCCACAACCTACAATAAAAAGATGTTGAATTCTTAAAAATAATTGTATCTTTAACAAACAAAATAAATTTGCAAGTCACAACACTTGTGCAAGGGTCATTCCAAGTCAAATACTTTTATTCTTCTCTAAAAACATTTATAAAAAAAAGTAAAACAAAAACATATGGTTTAATACCAGGCATACCTGACTTGATATGACTACTTCTTCAAGTTATATTACTTACAATACCTTTATACAAGTTTCATCATATGCCGTATCTGTTTTGTAAGTTTTATCACTTGCAGTATCTATTTTTAAAGCTTCATTACAAGTAATATCATAAGTTGTTACATATTACACTTCAAAAAAAAATCAACTCTCCTAGTCCAACATCAGCGAAAGCTGATATTTTTTCATGTTGTAGTCAACAGCTTCAGTATCAGTATTACCTTTATTCCAGTAAGAAATTGTGCAAACTTTGTCTTGTTTTGTTTTATCAAGTTTTTCTTCTCTACCATCATACATGACATACTTCGAATACTTACTATTGTACCATTCATGGCAAAGTTTTTGCCCAACAATTCTATCTGACATTACATCATCTTAGTCATGACATTGTTTGATAGACAATGTATTTAAACACTTTATTTCATTGTAAAAGAGTTCAAGCAACTGTTATTTTAACTTTCTTTTGTCTTTTTCATCCATTTTTTGGCATTTGCATACATGTTTTTTTGAAATATCTGCTCATATATCATTATGCTTCATTTGATTTATCATCTCTTTTTATGGGTTTCTGAATAGATCACATAACTATATTTTTATGGGTTTCTGAATAGACCACATAACTATATTTTTATGGGTTTCTGAATAGACCACATAACTATATTTTTATGGGTTTCTGAATCGACCACATAACTACATTTTTATGGGTTTCTGAATCGACCACATAACTATATTTTTATGGGTTTCTGAATCGACCACATAACTACATTTTTATGGGTTTCTGAATCGACCACATAACTATATTTTCTCTAGATAATTGATCTAAACTTTCTAGGTAATTTAATTTGTATGAAACATAACAAACTGTTGCATTAGGTGATCTTTCTTCAGCATCACTAAACATTCCTATTAACTCTTCACTATTTATATCGTGCTGCCTTGCACATGCTACTTCCTCCTTGAGAGTCTGGTTAATAGAAAATGAGAAATATCTCTTACATTGATGAGTTATGACGTCTCCTACTGCAATAAGACAAGCAAAAGTCATATTGATAAAGTGTTCATCAATCAACCAAAACATTTTTTATTGGATCTAAAATATTTGGTTCAAGGTCATTTTAAAAAGTGAACCTGGATTTGATTTAGAATCTGCAATTTTTAGTAAAATATTTTTTAATACCAGGATTCCACTATAATGGTCAAAATTTGCCTCCTCAACAGTCACACAAAATTTTGTCATCCAGGCTGGAAACTGGATGACAAAGTTTTATGTGACTTTGAGGAGGTGGTTTTCCAAATAATGCAAGCACACATTTTTGCTTTAGTGCTGTTTTGTTACAAAATACTGCTCTAAGAACTTTTTGTATAGTTCTGCATATTACTGTTCCAATGGTTAAAAAATGCTCAAACTCATTAAATGTTTTATAAAAATAAAACAAGTATGAAAATAAATATGAAGACGATTTCCTCGATACCTTGGAATGATACCTTGTGGTAGTTTTTGATCATCTAAAAACTAACGAATCTTTTTGAATCACCTTTGCCATGTTTAAACCTCAAATTGTTCATAGCCAAAACTATTTTAAATGCCATACAATCATACCCAGCCATGAGGTAGCAATTATATCAAGAGCGTGTAAATGGCAGTTTAGCTCATTCAAACTTTCCCCTTAAATGTCACACAGTTTGCTTATGGTAAGATGGTTAATTGCAACTTTGGCTGACATTGCGTTTGATATATTTGAGATGATTGATTGATCACTATCATTAAAAGATGCTAAATGAAAATCTAAATAAAAGTTAGATGATCAACTGCTTTACATATATGCAAGCAAATATTTGTAACTAGCTATAAGCATTTTATTTGCCTTAAAATTATGTACAACTTTAACTTATTTTAGCTTTTAAAGTTCTGAAATTTTCATTGCTTTTTTTTTAAGCTTTAAGATTGCATATTATCTTACTGTAATAATATGTTTGCAAATTTTGTTTAAGATCTCTAAGTTCAGCTCTTAAAACTTTAACAATTTGTTTCTTTTATGTAATTTTTGTCTTAGTACTTTCAACTTGTATGCCATGCTTTTTAATTTTGTTGTCACTATTACTAATTTATTTCAATACTTGCTGGATGTAACAGCAAGCTGATAAGTTAAATAGGACAATCTGGTATTCAAACCTTTTTTTTCTAGGGCTTATTTCTCCTCTTGATTCATGCCTATTCATTGTTAACAGAATGTTTGGAAAATAAAGGCTTGTGATTTAGTGGTGATAAATTACTTATGTGCTCAAGTGGTGAATTATCTAAACTACTCAAAACAGTAGTAAGAGATCTACTTGGAGGGACATGATGATAGAAAGATGGGCAAGATTTGTGCAATGCATATACAGGGTTCATTACGAAATTCCTTAAAACGACAACTATCCCTTGTAAAGTTGCAAAACCAACTTTTGCATCTTTTCAAAACCCTAAAGAAATGTGGTTTACAAATGTTTAAACTAAATAATAGTTATAACAAATGACACTGTTAATGAATAAAAAAGATACATATCTATTTTTACAACAACTGCAAGTTTTGGCAGATAAAAAGAAGTGTGTATTTAAATACTCTTTAACTGTACTAAGAACAAAAATTAAAGTTGCTTATTGTGTCTATTGCCAGGGCACAAAAAGCAACTTTATTTACAAAAAAAATGTAAAGAAAGTCTTGAATAACTACCGAATAATGATATAACATTAAATTATAAACAATATTATACTTTTATTATTAAAAACATTTTTAATAATACTGTATTATTGCGTAATTAAAAAATACTATTTATACACACAGACAAAATTGCCAATGTATACTGACATCATAAAACATGTGATAATATAAAGAGTTTTTAAAATACCATCATACCTATAGCTAGAATTATAGTAATCAACGCTTATGTTTTCAATTTCAATGAAACCAATAAAATTTTAGAAACTATAAACAAGTCACACTAAAATAAATAGTAATTTTCACTTTTAAAATAAAATAAACTAGTAAAAATATACAAACTAATATTAATTAATATAAAAAATCTAATAAACTACTGAAAAAATAAGAATATGAAAAAAACATCTTATTGGCAGTCTATATCTAATTGTATTAATATATATATATATATATATATATATATATATATATATATATATATATATATATATATATATATATATATATATATATATATATATATATTATACATATAACATAAATAATTACTAAACTAACCAAATAAAATTTAACTTGTTTGTACCCCTCTTACCACCCACTTACGGAAATCAGAAAAACAGAAATGAGGTACCAAAACTGCTCACTTTTATAGACTATCTGCTCAATAATATTTTTCAATGAAATTTGGTAGATAGATAAAAAATATATGTAAAAAACTATCTGGGTAGGTTTGCAAACTATCTGAGCATTTCTTTGACAATAATTTAATGTGAGAACAACAACCAAGTTTTTAATACAAATAAAAGCAATACAAAAATTACCAACCACACATAAATGTTATATATTAATCAAGTTTAACTATTCTTTTTTTCAAAAATAATCTAAGTTTAGTAATGTTTCTAAACAGAAACGCCACAAAAAAACGTTCGCCTGACGTTACCTAAAAAAAGTTCAAAAAACCTGGCACAAAATTTTAGTACAAAATTCGGTTCCGTAAAACACGGATTTCTGCGTACCTACTTAAAATGTCATTTTAAGTTAAGAAAAACTCAACAAATCCATATATCAACTTTCTCAATTTTTCTTTGAATTTTAAAAATAAATTCTACCAGGTCATCATTAAATATGAT